TAGTAGAAAAAGTACTTACACTCACCCTAGTCCATGAATCTATCACTTGGCATGTGCTTTATAAATATGTCCATTGTAGGAATATGCATCTAGGAATGTACACAAAGAACATTATTTACAATCAACAGTCTTGTGACTGTTTCTCAAGCTCTCCAAAATTGCACAGTAATTGTGATTTATTGCTATGGAATTGTTAGTGGAAAAGTACTCATACTTACCTAGCCTATGAATCTATCCCTTGGCTTTATAAATGTGTCCCTTGTTCATAAGATAAAATGGTAAGAAATGTAGTAACATTTTGAAAATCTAAAATGAATTTGGTATGCTATTTGCAGGTATGAGCTAGTAAATATGGAAAAAACAGAAGAACAAAACTTAACAGATATCACGGAATTCCACTTGGTAGGATTTATAGGACTTGGAGATCTGCAGATTCCTGTCTTTTGCCTTTTCTTAGTTATCTACCTTGTTACCATGGTTGGGAACATCTTCATCATTTTGCTGGTTGCTACTGATCCCCACCTTCACACCCCCATGTATTTCTTCTTGGGTAATCTGTCTTGCCTGGAGACCTGCTACAGTTTGAACATCCTTCCAGTGATGCTGGTTAATCTCTTCTATGGTGGGCAGGGAACAATTTCTGTAACTGGTTGCATGATACAATATTACTTTTTTGGTCTTTTGGCAGCTTCCGAATGTTTTCTCCTAGTGGCAATGTCCTATGATAGGCATGTAGCAATATGTAAACCACTCCAGTAGACAATGCTAATGAACAATAGAGTTTCCTTCCAGGTTATAGCTGGATCATGGATCCATAGTTTATTTGTTATGATCATAGTTTTATATCTAATGCATCGAATAAAGTTCTGCGGCCCCAGTGAAATTAATCATTTCTTTTGTGATTTAAATCCAATATTAAAGCTAGCATGTATTGACACTTACTTGTTTGAACTTGTAACTATTTCGATATCTGTTCTGTTAACTGTGCCTCCTTTCTTCTTGACTTTGGCATCTTACATTTTTATTATTTCTAACATTATGAGAATGTCATCTGTCAGTGGGAGGAAAAAGGCTTTCTCAACTTGCTCCTCACACATCATGGTGGTGTCCATTTTCTATGGCACAATGATAATTGTCTACGTGTTGCCCAAAACAGATGGACTGCAAGAAACCAACAAAATCTTGTCTCTGTTTTATACAATCCTGACCCCTTTGTTCAATCCCCTGATATACAGCCTAAGAAATAAAGAGGTAAAAGAGGCGCTTAGAAAAGCAGTTGCTAAATTGTA